GTTTTGAGCACGACGCTTTCTCCTTTCCGGTCAGGAGAGGCGGTGAAGTAGGGGTACAGTACTCGAGTGTGTCTAGCCAGCTTGCCGAGTGCCGACGGATCCAGCTCTTGGTTCAGACAGCCGAGGTGAGTCGCATTTATGAATGCTCAGGTTGACTCGACGCATGTCCAGTCTTTTGCGCTGTGTGCAATGTGGGCGGCCATTTTGACGGTCCTGGGGTACTGTGCTCTCTCTCCCTTCGGGTCGAGAGAGATGGGAAGGTCCATCTCAGCACGTGGGGTAGTGGATACCCAGCTGTACTGACGGTTTTGGGGCTTGCTGGCGGATTCGACTCCGAACTCGGGCAGGCGAGTTGAGCGAAGAGCGAATTTCCGCCATCCTGATCGACCCTAACTCGTGCTGGCGAGTCGACCGTTAGGCGAACCTGGACTTGAGTACAGTCGACGTCTACGCGGTTTAGGTCCGTGCCAGAGAACTGGGCGTGCGAGCTCTTCTCGTAGGCAAATTTCCTGTAGATCCATAGAGGTATTTTTTTACCGTCTACAGATCCAAACTGTCAACCTGTTTCCACTCCATATGATCCTAATGTACATCTAAAGAAAAATACAGGTCATCCTCAATTACAAAGAGAATATGCACAAATAATTGGATCATTAGGATTCCTAACAAACTACACCAGACCTGACACTGTTTATGCAGTAAATAGACTTAGTAGATATACATCAAATCCTGATAATAGTCACTGGGATGCTTTAGAAAGAATTTTGAGATACTTAAAAGGAACTATAAATTATGGTTTACACTATAAAGGCTATCCATCTGTACTAGAAGGTTATTCAGATGCAAACTGGATTAGTGATTCCGTAGATGTAAAATCCACCACAGGATTTGTGTTCCTTTTAGGAGGAGGAGCTGTGTCCTGAAAATCTACTAAACAAACTGTAATGGCTAGAAGTACAATGGAATCAGAAATGATAGCTCTTGATACTACTAGTATAGAAGCTGAATGGTTGAAAGATTTACTAACTGAAATTCCACTAATGCAAAAACCATTACCAGCCATTTCTATTCATTGTGATTGCAGGTCAGCGATTGACAAATGCCATCAAGAGAATGCAAATGTGAAGATGAATCGACACTTGAAAGTGCGCCATAAATCCTTAAGATATAAGATGAAAAATCATATAATAGCCTTAGATTTTGTAAGATCAGAGAAAAATCTTGCAGATCACTTAACTAAAGGCTTATCTAGGGCAGTGGTCCTAGAATCATCGAGGGGGATGGGGTTAAGCCCATAAGAAAAATCACTGCAGTGGCAACCCAACCTCGCAGAGGTTCAATGGGTAGAAACAAACTGAATGAGTGATTAATTGTGAGGAGCACTGAATTTATTTGCTCCCATCCCTAGGGTGATCAGTGCTCATAAAAAGCAAGTGAAAGGTTGAGTCTAACTCTTAATGAATCCAAGACCCATGAGGCAGGATGCTTACTTGCTCGCATCCTTATTAGGATTCACCTATATGTGTGTAGTTGTGAGGCCGCGACTATGGGATCAGGGCTGCTCCCTAGTAACACACATGAAAGATACCTGCGCAAGGCCGATAATAGCGCAACCCGTTTAGAATTCTTCAAAACTGTACTATGTGTGCTTTCTGTAGAAATCCGATAAATGAGACTGGTTCAAGGCGAAGTCCACCAAGCTCTCACGGATCTATACAACTGTCACTAAGTGAAGGTTCAAACCGAAAGGTACCTCCACCTATTACATAGTATAAGGGAACCAGCAATCGTATTTATTTCTTTTATTGTTATTTCTGAACTATTTTAAGTTTTAAGTTATGTGGGGGATTGTTGGAGTTATATAATAAAGATAACTTAAAACTTGGGTTTGTAGAGGAAAGGAGGAAAACTTTAGTCCCACATTGGAAAAGAGATGGGAAGATAGGCTCTTTATAAGCCTTCCCTTTCTCTCCTATGCCTAGAAGAAAAAAAAAGGTTATGCTCCACACCACACACGCGCGCGCCGGCCGGGCCGGGCTCGGGCTCAGGTTCGGGTCGGGTCGGGTGGCGCGCGCACACGAATGCAGCTCCGGACTGAGGGGCCCTTAATCTGCTACATTTTTATTTTTGAATAATTAAAATATAATTTTTATTTTTGAACAATTAACATGTGATAAATATTTTGTAACAGAAATATTTTGTAACGGAAAAAAAATTATTAGTGTGATTAAAAACGTGATAAATATTTTGTGAATTTATTATGTAACGGAAGCGTTTTATAATTTTATAACGGCTAAGTTTTATTAACGTGATTAAAATGTATTAACTACGGGTTTATGTATAACGGCTGTTTAACCCTATAAAAGGACCAAAACCCGAATAGTTTCACACAGCGAAAATACAACAAGCTCTTCTTCTCCTTCTCTGTTCTTTCTCTTGAATTTACTTACTGTTACGATTTGCTGGTTCCCTGAAAGTGGTGAAGAATTCGCAAAACCTTCTTGAAGCTCGTGCCGACAAGAAGGAGGTCGCCTGACCGTGGGTCGTCGTATCTCTGAGATCTATTGCCGCGTAGCCCTGTACGAGAGGGGGCAATTAGTTTCTTGGGACAGTGCTTTGGACGCTTCGATCATCAGGCCGTATTTCTAACTCTGTTTCTTTTTCATTTGATATATTTCTTATATCTGTGTTATAATAGTGATTATCTGTTAATTATTAAATTACTTAAACTGATTTTCGTTATTGTCTAAACAGCTAATATTTCCAACAGATTGTAACTCCCGATGTTAATTATGAATGCTGTTGAACTAGAGCTCTCATCGGTTGTCGTGAAGGTCGTCAGATTGTAACCTTCAGCGATCTACGTGAAAGTCTTCAAATTGTAGCCTTCTGGAAGTCGTCAGATTGTAACTTCCATCATCGTTGTTTGATGGAGGATAAGCTATCTATTGTGATTTTTAGACAGCCTACAAGCATT